ACGGACGATATAAAGCTACCCAATACATCTCTAGTAGGAAGGTATGATAAAATAAGATACTGTATACAGCAAACATTATAAAAATACAAAAGGCTTTGGTAGTGAGAGAAGCCCTTGGGCGTGTTGGAATGGGATCTATAAAAATAGGCAGGTCCAGGCCAAACCAAAGTTTGAAAATGCAATTGATTTCTCAATGTAGGGAAAATAAAAATACCACTACTACCAAACTCCCAAACAAAAGCCTATGCTCCTCTTTGAGCTCCTGCATACACTTCTTCTTGAAGTCCCTACCTCCTGCAGCTGAGCACATACACTGCCTAACAGCCTTAAAACAAACGAGTTACAGAACAGCCGCTCAGAGTCTTCTTCAAAAGTTCAAAACTCGGTTTTCCCAGGAACTCACAGATTCTTCAGTCCACAGTCAGTCCATCTCCCTCTGGTGCGTGGCGCACACAAGAGTTCTGTGCTCTGCTACCCCAGACTGATACAGGAAGCCTCTGCTTTCTACTTTTTAAACAGTCCATGACCAAGCTTATTTCCCCAGAGGTTTCTGTGGGATTTTTTCCTGATTGGGCTGTGCTCTTACAGTAGTCACAGTAGGCCAGGGTATTGGCTTTATCAACAGGGTTGAGTAGTTTCATTTGTATTTCTACAGCCCTTTGTCTGAGTAATTGCCTCCTATTATTGGTTTTAAATGCAGTTGCATGTACTGTAGCTTCCTCTTCCTCTGGTTCACTGTAGATTCGGGTGTGCAGAGCAGGTCCTCTGCACTCTGGTCAACTGGAAATCTTTCCATAGCAGATTGGTACAGATGTACAGATGTGACAAATTACATCTGAATGAGGTGGTCATCAGTCTTCCTGGCATAAGAATCTGTAAAATAATCCAAAAACATTTAACAGGAATGTGAGGGGGGAGAAACCAAAGACAATTAAAAGAAAGGTATGTGGGGAACAAAAACCAGAGGAGAACCAAAGGGAAAAACAGAACACATGATCAGGTAATCAAGCACTTGCACCTAAATGCAGTTTTTGTGTAAGACAAGCTTTCTCAACATGAACTGGGAAAGACCTATTGGAAGATCAGTAGCAGAAACTGAAATGGTAGATGTAATTCATGATAGCTTTCTTACTCGGTTTGTGAAAGCACCTTAGAGAGGAAATGCTTGTAGTATATTGTCTTTTCAAACAATCATGTTCTGAGGCAAACAGAGATGAGAGAACCATTAGGGAAGTTTCATCACAATATAGTGAGCTTTGAAGTATACTGTATTTTGAAACTTTTCAGTCCAAAGTCATAGTTTACAATTTCTGGAAATCACTTTTAAAGGGAAAGAGACACGGTTTTAGCTAAGTAAAATGGAATAGAACTGATATGAAATCAATGGAAAACGGATGGCAACACAGTTCTTTGAACATGCAACAACTATAATAGATCCAATGTGGTATAGTTAAATGTTCAGTAGCCTTTTGATAAAGTTCCTCAAAAATGATTCATTTTTAAATTGAGAATAATAGCTAATTGATCCAGGGATACGGGCATTTCTTTAAAAAGCCAGGGCATCGGCCTTAACAAGATAGCTTGATAGCCTTTTCGATTCTCCTAAAATCCTGAGGGTAAAGAAATACTTCCTGCTCTTTGTTTTAAATGCACTTCTACTTGTGTCATTCATGAGTATTGTAAAGCCAGCCATTAAAGAGAAATCATACCACATGTTAAAATGGCTTTTCATCAGGATGTACTATTGATATCTCTTTAACTGTTTTGTCTGGGGTTGGATTTGGACCCAGAATTTTGCCTATAACCATCTTATCCAATCCATGGGCTTGTTGGTTCAGGTGATATGTAATCTGACAGGTGCTTTTCACATATTTCCTCTTTACCCTTCTAAAGTGCAAGGGCACATTCCTAAATTCAGAACTGACAGCCAACAAATTATCCCCAACACGCTCACTTTACATAGAGGGGAAACCTACTAAATGTCACTGACAAAGTGGTCTTACCAAAGGGCTTCATTCAAAGAAGAAATTTGACTAGCAAGTTGATATGTGAAAAAGACAAAAGACAACATATGATTTTTTTTTCAAGCCTAGTGCTTGTAAGATTATATTCTCCACATAACAGTCAGGTGTTAACTGCCTATTCAGCTAGGCTGTTGAGACCATTTTGCTATGTGCATAGTTCTTAATGTACTTTCTAATGAAAAACAATATAACATCTGATCTATGAATTAGAAGTAGATGGTGCTACTGTGATAAAGAAAGAGAATGATCTGATAAGACCATAGCTCACAGATCATTCATTGGATTCATTCATGTCTTATCCCCAATATATTTAATGTACACCAGTGTTAGACAATCTTATTTTAATTGGCTTAACTTACCTGGTCAAAACATGTATTGATATTGACATGTGTAATACAGTGTATTGAATACAGGAAATGTTGGAAAGTAAGAAAACACTAGTCTATTTGTGAAATATTCCCTGCGCTTCGTAGCTTAAATCAATTGCCTATCTTGTCACTGGTCAGTCAGCTCTTTGATAACTTACTCTAGTGAGACACCATCACTCTTTTAATTGGAAGACAGACAGAGATGAGTTGTGGAACACAGATAAACAGAAGCATCCTATGTACAGCATACCCTTCCAATTGCCGACTATAAGTAACTATAAAAAGAGAGATCTGATCCCTGCTCAATTTCACAAGAACTCTTATGATCTTTCTTGTATTATTCATAATATTGTTGACAGGTCAATGCTGACATGCAAGTCATGTAACCTTCAACCTCTTCTAATTCTTTTAAAGTGTCCACATTTTCTAAAAATAACTTCTGACTAAAATTGCTTGTCATTAAGTTTGAGGTTATAAGATAGACAGCATCAAAATCAGTAACCCAGGTCTGTAATATTTTTCTTACATCAGAGAAAAGGCTTGTTCAGCAAGTATTAAATAATGCTGTTTTAGGACAATAATTGAAACACTGGCACAACAAAGGCCTTTCAAGGGCCACCAAATACATAATCTTCCAATAATTAGATTTTTCCAAGAACTCCAAGATGTGGCCTATAATAAATTAGAAAAGTAAATTCAGGGACAAAGATGTATTCAATTGCCTAGGCATATATATTTTTTTTAAATATTCCTTTTCCTTATTTTATACTGAAACCTCTAAGGTTAGTTCAGTTAGTGTTGGGGAAAAATACAGTACACCTATTTAGAAGATGATATCCTTTGCTTATGAACATGAAATTAGTTCATTCAGAGAACAGTTACTGTATAATTAGGAGGCTTTATAAGAATGAGACAAAGTGCAGAACCAAAATAAGCATGTTTCTGATATACTTTCTAGCTTGTTATGTGGCCTTATAGAGCGTATGTTGTGTATTGCATATTGTTGTAAAGAAAGGGATCTTTAACAATAAACAGGTGTAAAAAATCTTTGAATTTTCTCCGTATCTCTATTGTCCCATTCACTTTAAATTTCTGTAAGAACACATCAAGGTGGGATTCAGGCTCTTCAGCAAGTTTCTCAATTCACACTGCAGTGGGGAGCTGACATATATTACAAATATTTGCCCTTCAGGCTGAGATGAACTAAGCCCCAAAAAAGGGGACAGCTAGTGGGGCTGGTGTGGTTTTCTTTTTTCCTCCAATTAAGTGACAGACACCCAGTTTACATTTCCCAGATATTTTGGCAGGAGATGGTGTCCATGGTTGAAATCAGAAAGGATAAGAGTAGCTGATAGGCTGGCAGCTGACTTGACGTATAGGCTTTTGGACGTCACTACATGCAGAGGTCTTGACTTCACGTCTATTTAGGTTTTGTTCTTGGTGTCATCCCTCTCATGAAGCCAGCATACACAAATATAGATTGTGTCCGGGGCAGACCAGCAGAGACCCTTCAATATACCATCTGTTAAAACAGCATTTGAGTCAGAACAAACAATTTACTTTGAGCTGAGCGATGAATATTTTTATTTTCCTAGTGATAGCAGCTGACACTTGGCTGAAAACCCTCAATTCTATTTTTATCCTCCACCTGCTTTATGATGGATGGATACATTTCAGATTGGATTTTGTCTTGTTTGAAATCATAATTCAGATGTCAAAATTATGATTGCCCTTTTCCCCTTTCACCTTCCTCAATCAGTGACCGGTTTTAGTCCTCATAATTTTTCAAGAGACATTATGTTTATCACCATACTATTCCATATTAGCAGTTACATATTTGTCTTTATGAATCTCTGCATATTAAGCAAGATAGGGATTGTATAGCTTTTAAGGAAATAGCTCCAATATCTCATTCATGGTGAAATCGTTTAAATACTGTATAAACAGATTATTATAGGTGATATACAGTATAATGTATAACTTAATTATATCTATGATAAAAAATATATGCACTATAGAATAATCATCTGGACATAAAACAAAGTAATAGTTTGGAGCTTCCTTACAAAGGCAAATGCTGAAGCTGAATTGCAGTTTAGACTTTCAACATTTATTTTTTTGTTACATTTAAAAAAATGATTTTGTCTTCTTCTTGTTATGCATTTTGATCTTTCCCTGTCATGATTTTTTTTGTATTTTGATTTTCTGTTCTGTATTGTTCATTCTCCTACAGAAAGCTGCTGTTTTTGATAGCCAAGAATAGCTATCAATGTTAAAAGCTGACATCCAGCTCATTATTGCAAGCAAAGGAAACACTTAGGTGTTAATAGAACTAGAACTTCAATGTGTTGAGTTTTGTTGCACAACAGATCTGGGAATTCTTCCTTGCAACATTGTGCATGCCAACTCAGATTGAGAGGTGTTTCCCACCTGACAAGAGACAAGCATTCTTGGAACTTCAACCCAACAAGCTAAGAATGCAGCAGTAAAGTGTTATCTTGCCATTGGCGTTCCTGTCTGTGTACTGTATATGAATATGAGGTATATGAGTTTTACACTGGGTTATCTGATGCCAGCTGCATATGCAGCTCACCCTGTTGGATGAATCAGCAGAGGTCCCCGGAGAATCTCCTTGAGGGAGCTCTACAGGCGTTGTTAAAGAGGAGATTGACACATCACCATAGGTGCTTCTCCGCTGCAGGAATCCTTTGCAGAAGCCTCTCCTGCCCAATGAGGTGGAATGCTTCCCAGGCACATGGTCCGTGCTGCCCAAAAATAACCTGGGACCCAGCAAGCTGACAAATGTTGCTGCTTTTTGCTGGTGACAGTTTGCCCAAGCTTCTTGCCGCCATTTAACCCAAACTTCAAGGTTAACTTCCAGCACAAAAAAAGGAGACCTGGGCTGCAGCTAATTTCCTGCTCACCCCTGGAGGGCCTGGAGGACTTGACCACTGTCTCTTACCTCAGTTCCAGCTTGAGGATTCTCAGATCTAGACGGCAGCTTCTGGGTTAATCAGAAGGTAAACATCCTGTTAAACTGTTCACAGCTTCTGCTTGTGTGGGGCGATTGGGTTCAGGTGGTGGCACAGAGAAATATTTTTTGTCCTTTACTCACCAAGTCACAGAGATGCTGCTGTCCAAAAGCTTGTGTAAATTATGTGCTTGCGTTCAATCCTAGATTATCCTATTTGACTGGGGCTGGCAGTGACAGTAAAACAGTTGTGCTCAGTTTATTCAGAGTATAAGCAGGACTCCTAAGTAGAAGTGCTTCTATTTCTGCCAAGTAACAGAGATGAAATGTAACAAGTGCCCTGCAGGAGATATTATTTTTTCCTCTCCAAAACATTCTAGACTGGCTGCAAGCCTTTTGAGGTATTATTAAGCACATCTAGATTAATTTGATCCATTTTTATCATACTAGGCCAGCAAATGTAAGAACCTATACATGGCATGTAAAACAAAAAAAAGGTTTATTTTCTCTTTTTTTTAAGTAAAGTGACACGCCTTGCTATAATTAGCTTTCAGCTCGGGGCTGAAGGAGGCTGTGCACTCGGGATTAATGTACACAACAGCTGCAGTAACAGGTCTGTTGGAAGGGCAATGCTAGCTTTCTTAATTGCTCTGGTTTGAGTGTCAGTAGCATCTGTGGGCCCTATCCCATTGCTGCATTCAACATCACCCAGAAGCCAAGCACTTTACAAGCATTGAAATGATTTTGCCAACAACGATGAAAACAAATCCTATCTTTTTTCGAGAAGCATTTTACAATTTAACAACAATTTATGTTATACAAGAGTATTATGCCCTGTAGGTTAAGAACTTTGTCACTTCCTTTATCCAGATGTCTTTCATACCACCTAGATCTTTTTGGGTTCAGTGCTTGGTTGATGTGTTGAGTTATTGTTTTTCAAATCAATACCACAATGACATTAGCAGCAGAACTCTTTCAGCTACCACTGCATCTTCATCTGTCTGCATTTTCTGTACAATTGTGATGCAAAATATAGATAAGATCATTCTGGTTGTGTGAGTGGATCATCTTCCAGCTGAATCTATTGCTGGAAAATATAATAACCAGGATTCTCCACTGATCATGTTGCCATCAGGTCCAAAATTTACAGCCAGATCCATTGTCCAAAGATAATCTTTTGTTTTACCAGACTTTCTAGGATTTTGCCTTTTTCTTTTAAAACCCACTCACAACCTTTCCTTCTGCTCTTCAGCGTACCTCTAGGTCTGATGGGGCTTATACACAAGCTTGTGGCATCTTCAGGCAGAAGGTCACTATGTTCATTTTCTGTGGGTTCTCACCCAGAACAGTAAAAGGAAACTGTAAATGCACCCCTGTAACAGTAAACAGTAAAACTCACCCCTGTTTCTGCTTACCCCATTGGATTTCCAGCCATTAATGGTTGCTATTAATATTAAGGAAATTCAATTACTATTGAGTAGCAGAAGGTAGTTATCAATATATAGTTTTATCCTCTTGTATTGTGAATACATATAAGAGGGACTCTGTAACATCTTGCAATATGAAAATGTCCTAAATGGAAGATTAGTTCTCAAATAGTACATCTACTAAATAATTAAATATCTAAATAATAATTCTAAAATCAAAATAATAATACAAGTCATATAAAATTAAATACAATTCAAAAATTAGTTTAAGAAGATTTGTTCCAGGCAAAAATGTTTAGGGACTCTGTTGATAAAGGGCGCTCACCAACTGGTCTATGACCAAAACTTCTTAGATACAGATGATAGCTGGACTGTGCAGAACTCATTTCCCTAAATGTCAAAGCTATTGCACATTCCAAAGACTGAAAACTTCACTGACTGGTAAAATCAGCTTGTATTAGTTTTTTGGCATCAAGACTACTTCAGTCCAGTGTTTGTTTAATTTAAGATAGATTTATCTCTAAAGTAAGAATGATATTTGCAGGGATATGGTAAGCAGCTTATACATAGTTTTGAGATTCTTTTAAATTTAAAATTATTTTTAAAATTCTTTTAAAATAAACCCTAAGCAAAATAGTTTTTTTGTTTTAACTTTTGTTGCAGGATGCAAGAGAATAACTTGGAAGCTTCTACATCTATATCCCAGCTTTTAAGAGAAAGCTACCTGGCCGAATCCAGAATCCACCAGAAGCACAGTGAAGTCAGCCGATCAGAAGCCACTTCACACCTTCCATTCTATGGAAACATTACAGGCAAGTCAGATGAGTTAATAGCACAGGATGAATTCCTAGACCTGTCAGCCTTTCTAAACCAAGAAGAACTGGACAAAAGTGTCAACCTTGCTCGTCAAGCCATTGGCCAAGGAGCACAAGAAGAGAAATCTCAGCCCAATGTTGGAAATTATGCAGCCCATGAGCAAAATAGTCCCGTGACACCTAACCCTAATAAGCAGTTTTCAGCATCCACTGCACTGTCGCAAGTCAAGCCAGCATTTCAAAGTTTCCACCAGGAGAATGTGATCAAGAGCAACCGAGGTCCCAGGGAAACACCACAGGATCTTAAAAAAACAGTGAGAAATTCTCCATATGGAGTTGAAACCCCAACCAAGAAGGAATTCCTTAATAAGGCAGCTGACTTCATTGAGGAATTGAGTTCCCTCTTTAAGGCCAACAGTTCTAAGAGAATTAGACCCAGATCATGTAAAGCCCACAGAAGCAGGTACCAGGCAAAGACTCAGCTGGACGAGTCAGTGTTTCCATACAACGCAGAAGAAAGAGAAAGACCCATAGCTCCTTTGGCCAGTCAACTGGACACAAAAGCCAACCTCTACCACGAGGAAACCGATGTGTATGGACAGGAGACAAATGCAGAAGAAGAATCGTCGGACACTGGAGTGTCAGAGAGCTGTGAGCTCGAGTCTTCCTCCAGGTCCTACGAAATGGAGGAGCCAATCGGGGAACCTCCACGGTTCATTCAAAAACTCAAGAGCAGAGAGGTGCCAGAGGGCAGCAAGGTGCAGCTGGATTGCATTGTTCAAGGATTCCCTCTACCTGAAGTCAGGTAAGAGAGCTTGGGCAGCCACTAACTGTGAGACAAGCTGTTACAGATCGCACTTTGAAAAAAGGTATTAAAAGCGGTTGACCTGTAGAATAAAATTACCTTCTGGAGTGTTTTTAGTTGTTATGTATTTAGTATGTTTTGGTGTCATTTTGCTTGCCTTTATTTTTTATCTACTGGTGTTTAAGATACCACTTAATAAGAATAAACTGCTGTTTGCATATCTTATTGGGATACGCAGAAAAATTAGTAAATCTTTATGCTCTCTGGCCAATTGACTTTTCATAGCTCTACGGGTCTTGTTCCCAGCAGGGCCTGAAATACAAGATAAATGTTGGTTCTGTTTTTGCTTTTTCCATACCAACCTTTGCTCATTAATTTTATGTGACTCCCAGGCATTTGCAGAAAGTGATTTATAATTAAGCTTTAGAGAGAAGGTGAACTCAGATTCTATAAAAATAAAATAACCAGGATTACTCTGAAGCCAATAATAAAATCTCCAGGCTTCTCTCTTAAATAGATAGGCTTTTATATAAAGTTGGAGAAAGTTTGGTCATATAAGTGTAGTCCAAATATTCTTTTTCGACAAACCATTGTGTCTGTTTTTGGTAACATTGAGGTGTGAGTAACAGTCAATTCAAATATACCTGCCATACACACTATTACACACAATAAGAGCACATGGGGCCATAAAGCATAGTGCTGAGTTCATAAGGTGGAGGAAGTCAGAAGAAATGTGATTGAGCGGGAAGCTAAAAACCTGGCTGACACAAACTCATCCACTCCTGGCACTGCTCAGCTGGTTGTGCACTGCCACTTAGGGAATACCACTTGAGAAACTGGTCAGAGACTGGAGATGTCTAGGGTAATGACTATACTGGATGAGAAACATGACAGTCATTTTGTTTTTCTCAAAAACAACACTTTCCACTATATCAGGTGTTACTGTTTACAATGAAATATACAGTCAGGGTTTCGGTCAAATTGTCCTTTTTGGATATTGCAGTATATAGTCATGCTTCAGATGAAAAAAAAAGAATGAATTATAAGAATTTTTAGGAGACCAGTACCTAAATGATTAATTATCTGACAAGAGTGCACTTTTCTGGAAATTAACATGAAAACATCCCTTTTGTTAATTTAGTTGCTGCAACAAAAGGATAAAGTAGCCAATTTTTCAGCTCATGTTCACTGTCACACCAGAATGGTTTGAATGGGTTTTTGCTCCTTTCATCACAACATTTTTAATCATGTGTCTTCTAGGCCACTAGTGTGGATCTTTCTTATTCTCATAAATGAATCTAAATATTTATAAGCATAATAAAAAAAATGCTAGCAGAATTTCGAAGGCTTGTAAGGGCAGGTCATGCCATACAGTGAGAGTTTCTTGTCCTTCACTGTTTGTGTTCTGGCTTTGTTAAACATTTAAGATCAATTTTTTATTCTTTAACCTTTAGATCAAATAACTGTGCTGAGTGTTCTCGGTGGTGAAGGAGTAATAAATAAAATGGCAGACACCACGACAAAATACTGTTTAAGCTCACAGCATAAAAACATAACTTATTAAGATACGGCGCCACTAATGTTGCCATGCTGCTGTTTTTTTTTTTCAAGATGAATACTCTTTTTGTGTAAATGTCCGTCTGAATAGGTATGTGCTTGTCACCCACATATCTATCTTTGAAACCAGCTGCATCTGTTAGATACACAGCTTGAAAATGTTGGTCATAAAACACAAAGAAATTAAATTAAAGAGACATTTATTAAACAGAGGTGTTTCGGGACAAGACCATTCTTCTTTTATGAGAGTGAGAGTAAACAGCAGGACTCCTGGTAAATCTTTCTTTTGCACTGCAAATCTGTGCTTTCTCGTGGTTTTTTTTTATTAGAAGCACGGTTTTCTACTTTGTACAGTAAAAAATAAATTTAGGGCTGTTCTTTAAGAAAATATTTTGCAGTTGAGTTGAAACACAGAGTCTTTACAAAATAATCATCTGCTTCTGAAATAACATCAGTGCACTCTTATGTGGAAAAAATTGCATTATGTTTTTTTTTAAATTGTAGTGGTGTATGAATCTGTATATGTGAAATAATAAGTGGATCCCTAGTTCACTTAGCACATTCAAGGGGGGTAATTATAATCACATGGTTGAATAATTGAGTAACAAGTAAACAAGGACTGGATCTGGGCAGTTCTATCCTACATAATGGTCAGAAATTTTGTAAGTTCAATATACAGTTTAGTGGAAAGACATCATGCCATAATAAAAGATAGATGGTGCTCATCAATCTGGAGAGGGTTACAAAAACATTTTTAAACAACCGAGGCTCCATCTATCCACTGTCAGACAGACAGTCTATAAATGGAAAACATTAAGGCCAAAGTGATTCTACCTAGGACCAGTTATCCTTCCAAGACCTTCCCAGGAGCAATCTGGAAAATCATCCAAGCAGTTACAAAGAATCCCAGAGTAATGTTTAAGAATCTGCAGATCTCCCTTGCTGTAGCTAATGTCAGTGCTTGTGCGTTAACCATTACGAAATGACTCAATGGGAATGGTTTTCATGGGAGGATAGCCAAGAAGAAACCATTGCTCTCTAAAAGGAACACTGCTCCACCTCTCACGTTTGCCAAAGAACCTAAACAACCTGAACAATCCACAAGACTACAAGAAGACTAGTTTTTTTCTAGTCATCCATGTCAAAAGTTGAATTCTTTGCCAAAATGAGAAACAAAACCAAACACTATCAATAGAAGAACCTCATCTCAAAGTTGAAGCTGAGCCTAATGAGTAAGACAACGACTAAACATGGAAGCAGAACCACCACAAAATAGCTAAAGAAAGAAGAAGAGATTTTGCATTTTGGATTGGCCAAGTCAAAGTCCAGACCTAAACATTAAAATATTGCAGCAGGACCTGAAGCAAGCTAGTCACGCCAGGAGACCCTCAGTCGTCCCTGATTTTAAGTCATTCTATAAACACAACATTCCTGAAAGCTGAAGCAAACATGAAAAGTTGATGAAAAGTTACAGGAAATGTTTAGCTATAGTCAAGGAGGTGCCACCAGTTTCTGAATCTAAGAATTCACACACTGTACGTATTCACAAAAGGATATTTACTGTTGGATGAGTTTGTTGATTAAAAAATCCCAATATATCTTTTGTCTATATGATATACAGTACCTTCAATCAGGCTGTATTCATATTTTATTAAGACTTTCAAGAAAATCATAATTATGTTTCAGGTATAATATGTATATCAGGACCTGCGTAAGGGTTTAACAAACTTTTTCTCTGCAATGTGTAACTGTTTTAAAATCATTACATAAGGCCTTAAATATCAAATTGTTTAAATGATCAAATCATCAATGTTGTTATGTAAATTAGGAGCTTTGTTAAATCTAAACACTCTGCAGCCTTCAAAGAAGAAACTTGTCCATCATTCAGGCAGTCAGGGAATTTATGCAAGCCTCAATTGCATTTCATGAAATAGAATTTATTAAAAAAGGGTTTTTACCTTTGGAGTCTGAGAGACAGAGACATTTGACAATTTTCAAATCTCTGGCTCAGCAACTGAAATATCATATTTTTCTCCCTGAAGAGTCTTCTGCAATCCCTGGCAGTATGCCCAAGTCTGAGTCATGAATTTGATGTCGATATATATCCCAAAGCAATTCTGTCCAACTGCCCAGAGAAGTTCTGATCAGGTGAACTGAAATCTAATTAACAGTATATATTCACAGTGTATGGGTCAATGATTCTAAATAAATTTTGGAAGAAATGAACAGTGTAGAGGGATTTGGAGTGGAGAACTAAAATAACAACAAACACCAAGTTCAAGTAATCACAAAATAATTTACCAATCTGTACAAAGTTGTAAAGAAACAGGCACATTGAGATGCTATTATGCCTGTTGAGTGACTTTCTTATCCATTTGAAATACAGTGTAATTTTAAAGAGGAAATGCTTATTTGTTTAGGGAAATATAATATCTGTAGACCAGAGAAAATGAGCAATAGGTTCCTCAATATACTGTATATATTCAACATAGTGCAAAGTTCTGAATTCACAAAGACATGAAAGTCAGTTGAATGTAAAATTCAAACAGAAATCAATATGATCCATTTAATTAGCAAAATACATATTAGAGTGCTTGAAGAAAAAGCGTAAATGTTTTGGCTTAAATGTGACTGAACCCAATGACAGTGTTATGGTCTACAGTGTCACATTACTCTGGTGTGCCAGAGACCTTTTCAAATGTTTTATGCTTTACTCAGCCTGGACACTGTATTTTACATGTAATCCCCATTAGCCTTCAGGCACCAGGCCTTGCTAATTAAATTTATGCAACACTGAAACCTGACACAATACAGAACCCCCAATCTCTCGCTAGCGGTGTTACCATAAAAGGTCAGACCCTCACTGCCTTAAGAATAGTTTTGTTGTTAAATTTTTATTATGTAGAACTTTTCAGAGTATATCACAATGGCTGTATTAGCCATTAGAACTGTTATACTTCTTCAAGCACTGTGCTAGAAAGAATATGTAACAACACATGTACAAAGCACTTTTACAAAATCTGAGAAAACATGCAGCAGTAGAAGAAAAACAAATGACAAACAATAGTGTCTGTAAAGCCGTGTAATTTCTGCTTTGCATGAAAATGTTGAAAAGGACATTGACCCCTTTAACGAAACTAAACTAAATTAACAAATGGGATGTTTTCACGTTAATTTCCATAAAATCACAGAGTGTTACTAAATACTTCATGTATACAAGAGTACATGTGCACATGCTTCTTTATACTAATTAATTAAAATATACACACTAAATAGAAGTGTGATGATATTCTTTTGTTGTTAACGACATTGGTACTTTGCGTGGGACAATAGTATATTATATATTGCAATACATTAATATATTAGGAAATATTAGTAATTATTGCATTTAAAGAATGCAATGTTATTTAGTTTAGACACAATAATTGCTGTGTTTAAATGCA